CTATCTAGTTGGGTACACTAGGTACACTATTCTAACAACAAACTGGATCCCAGATCTCCTAACGACACAAGATTTTGTGAGAGGGCCCAGTGTGATCTGGTTGAGGTTGGTATTACACTGTTTTGTCTCAGTTTTTGACAAGCTGTGCTTGTCCTTTTTTATGGTTTCAGACAAAAATTGCATTAACACGTCATATCATCCCTGTTGTTTTCATAATGTTTTTGCTTAAAGATGTTATTCATACTAACGGTCATGCTAACGGTCATGGACCCTCGTTAGAAAATCCTTGGACTCTAAACTTCAATCATTCATTTAATTTCATTCCTTGAGTTTTTTTGCCCCTCTTTATTGCTGAGAGGGCTGATGTGGCTTAGTCTACAATAAATCCCATAATGTACTTAACACAATACAGTAAATATTGCTCTTATCTTTCAGCATCTTGTGCCCCCTAAATCTTTCTACCCCCCCCCCATCCCCAATATGCTCCAGGAGCCCTGCCTCTTGATGTTTCGCTTCGATATTAAAAGTTATAGAAATGAGTTTGACGTCAATATCAATAACGTTCATTCATAAACTTCATCCAGGATGAAGTTTATAACCAATTGGATTAGAAATCTCCTTACAACGATTTAGAGGGTAAGAAGTCACGTGACTATAAATTTCCATTTCTAAGTAAGAAAGTGATTAAAGACATGTCCAAGATAGCATTTGGAAGCAATTTGTTGAAGTTCGTTCGTTCAAAGTTCGTTCTTATCATCTATTACGATTGATGGTGTTTGCTCCTCCGCAGAGAAACTGACATTGACCGCACGTCATTAACGCCCCCGTTAAACCCCTTCCGCTTTCCCAAAAAAATGGCACCTATGATTTTCGTAATCTAGATGGATATTCAAATACATTCATGCAAAAAAATCGATTTTGGCACGCAAATCGAGCGGGAGCAATAATTGTGACACAAGCGACCGGACTATGAATAACATTTTCAAAAGATCAAAGCAAAATTGCATTAAATTACACGCTTTTGATAAGAAGGCTCCCTGTTTCTTACATTGTTCTTATATTTTGGGCGAATTTCAGCCTGATTGGTATTTTTATGAGGCTTTGCGTCCCTTCTTTACTATTACCGTTACTCTTTACAACTAACAGCATTCATGAAAAGAATTCTTTTTGCTAGATATTAGATGTATAAGTATTGTTAGATATATCACCAATGGCGTTTCTACGGGGGCGGGGATGGGGGGACATGGCCCCCAGAAATTTTCGCCTCTTTTTTGCCCCCTCTCAGTTTTTAAAAAAAATTCTATTAAAACTTCAAGATTTTTTCCATAGCAGTTCAATCGCTTTTTGACTTTGTTAAGGATCTTTCTTTATTTTGCTCAATGCGATATCATTGCATTTATTTAACAAGCTAGGGACTCACAAGCTGAAATTTTGGCTCTTTGATGTAGTTACCAAGAAAAATTCATTCTTGACAATCATTTAATTCTATATTTGTTATATATTATCACGAAGATACACCTTCTTGGGGTGGGGTGCGCAGGGTAAGCCCAAGATTCTCTGCATCCTATTTAAACATTTTTTCATTCTGGAACATAGCGCAGGGAAATACCAATACCATTATAACTCAATCAGAGCCTGCTAGGAAGGGGGCAGGTGGAGCCATGGCCCTGTCACTAATTTGCCAATCGATAAAGCTATTTTCAACATCTTTTGCTATGGGCGTTAAATTTTCCCCTGGCCCCCTACTTTCAAACCTGTGTCGGAGCCCATGTCAATTTCTAGGAAAGTAGACTACTTAAATGTTAGGTTGGAAAGTTTACATCAAAACAGCGGAGAGGCTCAACACAGGGGATTTGCCAGAACAATTTTTTTAGGGCAAGCACAGTCACGTAGCTGTGGAAATCGGCTGGGCTGGGCAAACAGCTAGAATCATACGTCGAGGGGGCATGCTTTCATAATTTTCTAACAAAAACTCGCACACGTTTCCGATTGCTTGCTCTTACATCAGCTGAGAATACATGCTTGAAAACTTTGCTGTCTCTTTCCAAATTACTCTTGTCAATTGGGTAATTTTCTGTCGTTTGATTGTACATATCCCTTGGTGTCTCCAAGATGGCCCTTCACGGAGAATGTTGCAAAAACACTAGTAAAAGTAGAGATTGGCTACTTTTTGGCATTAACAAAGGCGGGGCTAGAGAATATTGGATTCTCGTCGTCCTATTGTTTTGTTCCTGTATATCTTTCATAACAACACTCATTGCAAGATTCACAGCATCCGGCGGACAGCCTATCCTGCGGTTCTTCCTTCTTACACACAACGAATAGTTAGATGTCTCAAGAAATTGAAGACCAAGAAAAATAAGTCAAGTTTATCTCTATATTGAAGAGGAGGCCTTAAGGCGGGTTTACACGATCGTTTTTCCTTAAATTTTTTTTCGATATTGGACCGCAATATAGAGATAAACATAGAGAAATAAAAATAGAGATTTTTTTTCGTTATTTCTGTTGCTCAAAACCTTTAATGTGTAGCTAATGACGGAGCCAGTGTTACTCTCCCTCCATCGCCCATCGATCACGTTGTCATCCAATCATTAAATGTGTAGCTAAGGACGGGCCATGCTCAGAGAAAACTTGTGAAACCCGAACCTCTTTTTATCTAAAAATAGTCCCCTGCCCGTTTTAACTACCTTCCCCGACTATTTTAGTTCTCATAGCATGAATCCAATCTTTTCTTCACCCCAATACTTAATAAAAAGTCTCGAATTCTCTCCCCGAGACTGACATGACGTCAGAATTTGTCGGCCCCTTTGAAAAAAAATGATGGTAGAGATTTTATTTTGACCCGGAGTCAAAATAAAATCTTCAACGATGGATCATTATCGCCAATTAAGCGGATTAAAAACGACAGATAGCATCAAACTTTTTTCAGCAATTTAGCCTTTTACACGATCGTTGTCGTTCATCGCGGTCCAATATCGAAAAAAAATTTAAGGAAAAACGATCGTGTAAACCCGCCTTA